CCCCCCCCGGTAGGAGGGGGAGGGAGGACGCAGAAGAAGGCCTCACCCGGGGGGGGGGAGGGGGGGCGGAGATGCCGGGGCGGCCGCCGTGGTGGGAAGGAGCGCACCGAGCCGGGGGCCAGGGGGCCGGGGATGCACACGTCCCCGCTCAAGTAGACCGGGTTAGCGGGCGGGGAGGGGGCGGGCATTTCGCTCGACCGGTGCGTACTTTTGCACATTATACGCATGTTCCCGTGACCGGCACGCGCCAGGAGCCCCATTTCTGCCGGGGGCTCCCTCGGCCCCAGGGCGTACACTTTTCCTGGCCTGCCTTTTTCTTTCTCCCCTCCCCTGCCCTGCTTCCCAGATGCCGGGCTGTGTAGATGCTTTCTTTCTCTCTCTCTCTCTCTCTCTCTCTCTCCCCCCCCCCCTCGATTGTGACCCTTTCCCTCCCATTTGCGCTGTCCACAACCAGTGGAGATGAAGCCACGCAGCCTCCCGATCTGCAGGTGTAGCGTCTTGCGCCATCGCGTCTCACGCCCTCCGTGCATCTGCGTGTCTTGGGCGCGGGCGGCTCCCGCTCTTTGTCCTTCCCTCGCTCCTCTCTGCCCAGCCACCCCCCCCCCCCCCCCCCCGCGGGCCTTTTGTGTGCGAGGGTCCATTTGTGGGATATATATTTTTCTAGTGGTCTACATCCCCTCTTTCGCGTCCCGGCGTAAACACACCAAGGCACATATGTGTGTCTCACACACGGAGAGCGGCAGAGGAGGCGGGAGAGAGGGCGGGAGGGGTGAGGAGCACACATGCACACGTCCCTTTGGCACATGCCGGCACGCGTGTGGGAAAAGGCAGGGTGTGACCTCGGCCCCTGTCGCTCCGCCGGCAGCAGTGACAAGCAGCCCTGTACACACCGCTGCCTTGTTTTCCCCCCCGCACACAGGCAGCAGCAGAGGGCGAGGGGAGAAGGAGCGGGAGGGACACCGAGAGAGGGGCACACCTTCTTGGGGGTCCCCCCCCGCCCCCTCCTCCAGCCCCCCTCCACGATCGGGTGGCCAGGCATGCGCACTGCTGCACACGCCCCCCGGGCCGCGTGCACCGCGACACGCCATCCTTCTGGCCTCTTAGTCGCGCCCGCCCGAGCCCCGGACCATGGCCATGAACTCGTTGCGGAGCTGCGGCTCGCGCATGGTACCCAGCATGCAGGAGGTGATGGTAGAGCTGCGGGGCTTCTGCACGCCACGCATGACCATGCACATATGGCTGGCCTCGATGACGACACCCACCCCCAGCGGGCTGAGGGCATTCTGGACCACCTCGGCGATCTGGCCGGTCAGGCGCTCCTGGACCTGGAGGCGCCGGGCGCAAAGCTCCGCAATGCGTGCCAGCTTGCTCAGGCCCAGGACATGGCCATTGGGAATGTAGCCGACATGCACCCGGCCGAAGAAGGGAACCAGGTGGTGCTCGCAGAGGGAAAAGATCTCGATGTCCCGGACGATGACCATGTCCGAGCTGTGGCCGCTGGCGGCGAAGATGGCCCCGTTAAGGACCTCTGCATGTGTGTGTGTGTGTGTGTGTGTGTGCACATGGGATCGGAGGAGCAAGGGGAAGAGGGGCCGGGTCAGAAAGAAAAGGAGGAGGAGGAGGGGGGAAGGCAAGGCCAGAGGGGGAGACAGGCATATCGGGCAGACACGAACCATCCATGCTCATCTCATAGCCACGAGTGAAGTAGAGCATGGCGCGGGCATAGCGCTCCGGGGTCTTGATCAGGTCCGGCCGGGTGACGTCCTCGCCGATGCACTCGAGCAGGGTGCGCACGGCATCGGAGAGCTTCTTCTCGCGCTCGGCGCGCTGCTCGGCGTTCTCGGCCGCGCGCTCGATAAAGCCGTCGGCTGTGCCAGACACGACCGGTGTCAGTGGTTGGCGGTGGGGGGAGAGGAGGCAAGGCGAGGAGGAGGAGGAGGAAGAGGAGGAGGAGGAAGAGGAGTGCGTACTGGTAAAGCTAAGGCTGCTGGCGACCGACTCCAGATCCGGGGTGTCGTTGGTGTTGGTGGTCATAGTACGGCGGGAAAGGTGGTAGCGGTGGGAGGAGCGCTGATATGCGCAGGGAGGGGGAGGGGTATGCGGGGGGGGGGGGTTAGGCGCTGCATGTGGGGGATCCTGGTGCGATCTGGCCAGCTGGCGATCGTGCCCCGGACTGGCGTCACAGGGGGAGATGGAGGGCGCAGGGCGAGAAGCTGCCGAGAGGGGGGGGCAGCAGCAACAGGCGAGGGGCACTGAGGGGAGAGAGAGCAGAGGGGGCTGTGGCGGGGGAGCGAAGGCGGAAGGAGCCAGAGGAGGGCGAGAGGAGGGCGGAGAGAGAGGGAGAGAGGAGCGGCGAGGGAGCGACTCACGTCGAAGCAAGGGAGGGGGGGGGGTAGCGTGTGATGCTGTGACGGCGCCACGCCACTATGGAGGGATGCTACACACCGACTTGAGTATCTGCCCCGCCTTCCCGCCCCTCCGCCCGATGGCCGTGCGCTGGGCGCGTGTGGCATGGCGCGCGCGGGCTGGGGGATCTGCTTTGAGACGCGCGCCCGTCTGCGGGGAGGTTTTCATGGGTCTCTCCCCCCCCCCCCGGGCGGCGCCCTTACAGCGCCCCCTCCCCTCGGGGGCGTGTGGGGCACCACGGCGGCCGCCACCGCGCAGCCGACCGGGGGGGGGGGGGGGCATGTGCCCATCAACTCCCGCGGGGCCGAGCGGAGGACTGGCGGGGGTTAGAGCACGCAGGCAGGGGCGGCGGGAGAGTTGGAGGTTGCCGCGGCGGTGTGCGTCCGACTCGCGGGCGGACCACGCACACTGGCGCCCGGGGGGGAGGGGGGCGCGCCCTTCCCCGTCCCGCACCTGGTCCAGGAGGCGGACCCGAGCAGGCGGGCGAGGACCCAAGGACACGCCCGGACCGGCTGCCGTCCCCCCCATCTTCTGGCCACGCTGGTCTGACAGGGTGCGCAGGCGCCCTCACGCCTCCAGCACGCCGGGATGGCGTGTTCGCTCGGGGCGGGATGGGGCGGGCTGAGGATAACGCCAGAGCCGCATGGGGTCGGGGCGGCGCACATCACCCCCCGGACAAGCAGGTTCTCCCGCCCCCCCCCCCCACCGAGGAAGAGGAGC